TGAATATGTCCCCACTGCAGATCCATAGGAATATCAAACCTAATATGAATATGTCCCCACTACAGCTCAATAGGAATAACCTACCTAATAGGAATATGTCCCCACTTTAGCTCCATAGGAATAACCTACCTAATAAGGATATGTCCCTACTATAGCTCCATAGGAATATCCTATCTAATATGAATATGTCCCGACTATAGCTCCATAGGAATAACCTACATAATAGGAATATGTCCCCACTTTAGCTCCATAGGAATAACCTACCTAATAAGGATATGTCCCCACTATAGCTCCATAGGAATATCCTATCTAATATGAATATGTCCCCACTATAGCTCCATAGGAATAACCTACCTAATATGGATATGTCCCCACTATAGCTCCATAGGAATAACCTACCTAATATGAATATGTCCCCACTATAGCTCCATAGGAATAACCTACCTAATATGAATATGTCCCCACTATAGCTCCATAGGAATAACCTACCTAATATGAATATGTCCCCACTATAGCTCCATAGGAATAACCTACCTAATATGAATATGTCCCCACTATAGCTCCATAGGAATAACCTACCTAATATGAATATGTCCCCACTATAGCTCCATAGGAATAACCTACCTAATATGAGTATGTCCCCACTACAGCTCAATAGGAATAACCTACCTAATAAGGATATGTCCCCACTATAGCTCCATAGGAATATCAAGATTAATATGAATATGTCCCCACTATAGCTCCATAGGAATAACCTACATAATAGGAATATGTCCCCACTATAGCTCCATAGGAATAACCTACCTAATATGAATATGTCCCCACTATAGCTCCATAGGAATAATTCCTACCTAATATGAATATGTCCCCACTATAGCTCCATAGGAATAACCTACCTAATATGAATATGTCCCCACTATAGCTCCATAGGAATATCCTATCAAATATGAATATGCCCCCTCTATAGCTCAATAGGAATAACCTACCTTATATGGATATGTCCCCACTATAGCTCCATAAGAATAACCTACCTAATGTGAATATGTCCCCACTATAGCTCCATAGGAATAGCCTACCTAATATCAGTATGTCCCCACTATAGCTCCATAGGCATATCCTACCTAATAAGGATATGCCCCTTCCCAATATGAATATGTCCACACTATAGCTCCATAGGAATACCCTTACTAATAAGGATATGCCCCCTCTATAGCTCCATAGGAATATCAAACCTAATATGAATATGTCCCCACTACAACTCAACAGGCATATCCTACCTAATACGGATATGCCCCCACTATAGCTCCATAGGAATAACCTCCTAATATGAATATGTCCCCACTAATAGGGATATAAGGTGCCCACTCTATAGCTCCATAGGAATAACCTACCTAATATGAATATGTCCCCACTATAGCTCCATATAGAATAACCTACCTAATATGAATATGTCCCCACTGTCCCCACTAATATAGCTGGCCATAGGAATAACCTACCTAATATGAATATGTCCCCACTATATGGCTCCATAGGAATAACCTACCTAATATGGATATGTCCCCACTATAGCTCCATAGGGATATCCTACCTAATATGGATATGTCCCCTCTATAGCTCCATAGGAATAACCTACCTAATATGAATATGTCCCCACTATAGCTCCATAGGAATAACCTACCTAATGGAATATGTCCCCACTATGTCCCCACTATAATATGTCCCCACTATGGCTTCATAGGAATAACCTACCTAATATGAATATGTCCCAACTATAACTCCATAGGAATAACCTTACTAATAAGGATATGCCCCCTCTATAGCTCCATAGGAATATCCTACCTAATATGAATATGTCCCCACTGCAGATCCATAGGAATAACCTACCTAATAAGAATATGCCCCCACTATAGCTCCATAGGAATATCAAACCTAATATGAATATGTCCCCACTATAGCTCCATAGGAATATCCCACCTAATATGAATATGTCCCCACTACAGCTCAATAGGAATAACCTACCTAATAAGGATATGTCCCCACTATAGCTCCATAGGAATATCAAACCTAATATGAATATGTCCCCACTATAGCTCCATAGGAATAACCTACCTAATAGGAATATGTCCCCACTTTAGCTCCATAGGAATAACCTTTACTAATAAGGATATGCCCCACTATAGCTCCATAGGAATATCCTACCTAATATGAATATGTCCCAACTATAGCTCCATAGGAATAACCTACCTAATATGAATAAGTCCCCACCATAGCTCCATGGGAATAACCTACCTAATATGAATATGTACCCACTATGGCTCCATATGCATAACCTACCTAATATGAATATGTCCCCACTATAGCTCCATAGGAATAACCTACCTAATATGAATATGTCCCCACTATAGCTCCATAGGAATAACCTTACTAATAAGGATATGCCCCCTCTATAGCTCCATAGGAATATCCTACCTAATATGAATATGTCCCCACTATAGCTCCATAGGAATAGCCTACCTAATATGAATATGTCCCAACTATAGCTCTAGGTGTGGCCTAGTGGTTAAGACGATCGCTCGTCATGCCAAAACTAAAACTAAACTCACTCACCCATACGAATGGCCTATTTAAAAATAATATGCTACCTCCATTGCTTCTTACTAGTAGCAAACTTAATACCATTTTTGGCCAACTGTTGCTCCAAACAAATAGCCAAGTTGCCCAGAATAGACCCCTACCAGGCACGTAGCAAGCCAGTCTGTTTGTGTAAGCCCGATAGGTTGCAAAGCCATCATATATAGATAGTATTGAGGGCTTGCCGACCCTTTTCAGGAACAATCATGTGTATGCCTGGGCTTTTTATTATAATGGCAGCTACGCCCTTGCCTGCTATGGCTCAATACTAAAAGAGTGAATACTAAGAATAGGCCCCAAATAAAGCACCATGTTAATAACCTGTTTAATAAGAATATGGCCCCACTATGGCTCCATACTCAGACCTTACTTCCAAGGAATATGCCCCATCACTGGCTTTTTGCTGATTGTGAAAAAGGAATCTCCTCACTGAGACTGTAGTTATTGAGAAACCAGGTAACAGAGCAGTGAGTAGCATGTGTTCCCCCAGGCAAAGACAACCATTGGCACCTGATGGCTACAAGAATAGGGATTCTTATTTAGACTTTTAACACAATTAACGAAAGTATTTTTTGAATATTCAACATTGGTTAATGAATTCTGTGAACAATATGGCATATGACATGTGTAGGTAAAATGATATAAACAAGTATGCCAGGCCCATCACTTAAGTTTGTCTACATTGTACATCCCTAAGGGTTTCACTTGCCAGGATCCTTGTTGAGGACTGGTCTGCCAGATGACAACAAGAACACATTTTGCTTATAATAATTATTTATTCACAACATTCAAGGGTCAAATGTCCTCAAGTCGACTTCCAACACTTCTGACAAGTTTAATATGTTACATATTCATCAAATGGTTATCCTTTTTTTGCAAAAAGTATCATGCTCAATCTAACATAGACATAAATACTGCCATGATTTATATCATCTCAAACATCATTCTGACAGTTGATCTTTTCTGTGTGACTACCACATTGATATGTGACATGCATTTTCCATGTATATATATAACATTATATGTGTATGTCCTGTATGTGAAGTGGTGTCCTGTATGTATGTGTAGTTGTGTCCTGTATGTGTAGTGATGTCCTGTATGTGTAGTGATGTCCTGTATGTGTAGTGATGTCCTGTATGTGTAGTGGTGTCCTGTATGTGTAGTGGTGTCCTGTATGTGTAGTGGTGTCCTGTATGTGTAGTGATGTCCTGTATGTGTAGTGATGTCCTGTATGTGTAGTGATGTCCTGTATGTGTAGTGATGTCCTGTATGTGTAGTGGTGTCCTGTATGTGTAGTGGTGTCCTGTATGTGTGTAGTGGTAGTGTATGTGTAGTGATGTCCTGTATGTGTAGTGGTGTCCTGTATGTGTAGTGGTGTCCTGTATGTGTAGTGGTGTCCTGTATGTGTAGTGGTGTCCTGTATGTGTAGTGATGTCCTGTATGTGTAGTGATGTGTCCTGTATGTGTAGTGGTGTCCTGTATGTGTAGTGGTGTCCTGTATGTGTAGTGGTGTCCTGTATGTGTAGTGGTGTCCTGTATGTGTAGTGGTGTCCTGTGTCCTGTATGTGTAGTGATGTCCTGTATGTGTAGTGATGTCCTGTATGTGTAGTGGTGTCCTGTATGTGTAGTGGTGTCCTGTATGTATGTGTAGTGGTGTCCTGTATGTGTAGTGATGTCCTGTATGTGTAGTGATGTCCTGTATGTGTAGTTAGTGTCCTGTATGTGTAGTGGTGTCCTGTGTGTAGTGGTGTCCTGTATGTGTAGTGGTGTCCTGTATGTGTAGTGGTGTGTGTATTTGTGGTGTCTGTATGTGTAGTGGTGTCCTGTATGTGTAGTGTGTGTCCTGTATGTGTAGTGTGGTGTCCTGTATGTGTAGTGGTGTCTGTATGTGTAGTGGTGTCCTGTATGTGTAGTGGTGTCCTGTATGTGTAGTGGTGTCCTGTATGTGTAGTGGTGTCCTGTATGTGTAGTGGTGTCCTGTATGTGTAGTGTCCTGTCCTGTATGATGTAGTGAGTTGTGTCCTGTATGTGTAGTGGTGTCCTGTATGTGTAGTGGTGTCCTGTATGTGTGGTGGTGTCCTGTATGTGTAGTGGTGTCCTGTATGTGTAGTGGTGTCCTGTATTAGTGGTGTCCTGTATGTGTAGTGGTGTCCTGTATGTGTAGTGGTGTCCTGTATGTGTAGTGGTGTCCTGTATTTGTAGTAGTGGTGTCCTGTATGTGTAGTGGTGTCTGTATGTGTAATGGTGTCATGTATGTGTAGTGGTGTCTGTATGTGTAGTGGTGTCCTGTATGTGTAGTGGTGTCTGTATGTGTAGTGGTGTCTGTATGTGTAGTGGTGTCCTGTATGTGTATTGGTGTCCTGTATGTGTAGTGGTGTCCTGTATGTGTTGTGGTGTCCTGTATGTGTAGTGATATCCTGTATTAGTGGTGTCCTGTATGTGTAGTGGTGTCCTGTATGTGTGGTGTCCTGTATGTGTAGTGGTGTCCTGAATGTTCACAGTCCCTCAATGGCATCACCACCATACAGCATCTGGGCAAGTGTGTCTGTGCTGTGTCTAAACACATACAAACACGTTGTAGAACATGATCGGAACAAAAATGGCAAGTTTTTCACCCCAAATATGTTGGTGACTGGTCGAATGATCCTAAGGCCAGGGCCAAAAAGTGCCCCTCTACAGCAGTCACAGGTATCTTTGCTGAAAAAAGAGAGAAGTAAATGCCTTTAAATAAGAACATTCTCCTCTATCAGACAAAAAAATCGTTCTGGGAGTTCTTTTTTCCAAAACAACCTGAGCCTCAGTTTTGCCAATATGAAGAGTAATCTTAGCTGTGTAATTATGCGTCATGTGGTGCCAAGTTACTGATCACCTTCATAATGGTAGCATATGTCCTGAAATGATACCCTGACAGAATAAAGATATTGAAGTCCATAAGTCATCTCTGTATTCCTCATAATGATGCTTCAGACATTCTCTAACAGTATGCTACAGTTATACCAAACTGAAAGGGACCACTGACATTAGTTCAGTATAAAGGTAGTTCATTATACATAGTTCACCTCAGTAATATGGAGCACACAGCCTGCGGCAAGTCAGTCTCAACCAGCTCAGAGTTGTGGATGGCAAGAGCAGCAAGATCAATCAGTCTCTGCAAGCACCATCAACATTCTATCTAAAGTTCTATCACTGCTACCATGTGTATGTCTGTCTATCACATTCAGTCTTATCATCTTCAGTTTAGATTCTTATTTGCTATACGCATTAGGGCTTCAACGAGTCCAGTTTCTTGGATTCGAGTACTCAAGGGGTGAAACTCAACTCGGACCCGAGTACTCGAAATTCATACCTTTCAAGCAGACGATAGCATAACCACATGACATGTGATCCGATCACACAAGTGAACACTTACTTCATTCCGACTTCATATCGTCGTGTGACTAACATTTCCTTATTTGGTTATTTTTCTCTTTTCACTATCCACAGATCAAGATAGGTCAATACATTTGATTTTTTTATCGTTCTCCATGTCTATTAAGATAGTTACCTAATCATTTTAAGAAGAAAAATCTCAAACGATGTATAATATTTACTCTCATCTGCAGACAACTAATACCTTACAGCCACACCTTATGAGGAGTAAACTATTTAATCTAGGTGTTAATAAAAACATTATCAGATGGGTTAAAGAATTCTGGGTAGATAGAACTCAGTATGTCAGTGTCAATGCCTATCAATCTTCTTTTCTCTCAACCTCTACTGGCGCTACACAGGGCTGTGTTCTTTCATCTGTACTCTTCGTTATGTATACCAATGACTTTTACTTGTCATTAAATGACCACTATAGTCTATATCTCCCTCATGTTGCCCCACTATAGTCTATATCTCCCTCATGTTGCCCCTCCTATAGTCTATATCTCCCTCATGTTGCCCCACTATAGTCTATATCTCCCTCATGTTGCCCCACTATAGTCTACATCTCTCTCATGTTGCCCACTATAGTCTATATCTCCCTCATGTTGCCCCACTATAGTCTATATCTCCCTCATGTTGCCCCACTATAGTCTATATCTCCCTCATGTTGCCCCACTATAGTCTATATATCTCTCATGTTGCCCACTATAGTCTATATCTCTCATATGTTGGCCCACTATAGTCTATATCTCCCGCATGTTGCCCACTATAGTCTGTATCTCCCTCATGTTGCCAACTATAGTCTATATCTCCCTCATGTTGCCCCACTATAGTCTATATCTCCCTCATGTTGCCCCACTAGTCTTTATCTCCCTCATGTTGCCCCACTATAGTCTAAATCTCCCTCATGTTGCCCCACTGTAGTCTATATCTCTCTCATGTTGCCCACTATAGTCTATATCTCCCTCATGTTGCCCACTATAGTCCATATCTCCCTCATGTTGCCCACTATAGTCTATATCTCCCTCATGTTGCCAAGTATAGTCTATATCTCCCTCATGTTGCCCTACTATAGTCTATATCTCACTCATGTTGCCCGATATAGTCTATATCTCCCTCATGTTGCCAACTATAGTCTATATCTCCCTCATGTTGCCCCACTATAGTCTATATCTCCCTCATGTTGCCACACTATAGTCTACATCTCCCTTGTATGTTGCCAAACTAGTCTATATCTCCCTCATGTTGCCAACTATAGTCTATATCTCCCTCATGTTGCCCCACTATAGTCTATATCTCCCTCATGTTGCCCGACTATAGTCTATATATCTCTCATGTTGCCCACTATAGTCTATATCTCCCTCATGTTGCCCCACTATAGTCTATATCTCCCTCATGTTGCCCACTATAGTCTATATCTCTATCATGTTGCCAAGTATAGTCTATATCTCCCTCATGTTGCCCACTATAGTCTATATCTCTCTCATGTTGCCAACTATAGTCTATATCTCCCTCATGTTGCCCCACTATAGTCTATATCCCTCATGTTGCCACCTATAGTCTACATCTCCCTTGCATGTTCTATAGTCTATATCTCCCTCATGTTGCCCACTATAGTCTATATCTCCTAGCATGTTGCCCCACTATAGTCTATATCTCCCCTCATGTTGCCAAACTATAGTCTATATCTCCTCATGTTGCCAACTATAGTCTATATCTCCCTCATGTTGCCCACTATAGTCTATATCTCCCTCATGTTGCCCCACTATAGTCTATATCTCCCTCATGTTGCCCCACTATAGTCTATATCTCCCTCATGTTGCCCACTATAGTCTATATCTCCCTCATGTTGCCCCACTATAGTCTATATCTCCCTCATGTTGCCCCACTATAGTCTATATCTCCCTCATGTTGCCAACTATAGTCTATATCTCCCTCATGTTGCCCCACTATAGTCTATATCTCCCTCATGTTGCCCCACTATAGTCTATATCTCCCTCATGTTGCCCACTATAGTCTATATCTCCCTCATGTTGCCCACTATAGTCTATATCTCCCTCATGTTGCCCCACTATAGTCTATATCTTCCTCATGTTGCTCCACTATAGTCTATATCTCCCTCATGTTGCCCACTATAGTCTATATCTCCCTCATGTTGCCCACTATAGTCTATATCTCCCTCATGTTGCCCACTATAGTCTATATCTCCCTCATGTTGCCCCACTATAGTCTACATCTCCCTTGCATGTTGCCAAACTAGTCTATATCTCCCTCATGTTGCCAACTATAGTCTATATCTCCCTTGCATGTTGCCAAACTAGTCTATATCTCCCTCATGTTGCCAACTATAGTCTATATCTCCCTCATGTTGCCCCACTATAGTCTATATCTCCCTAGCATGTTGCCCAACTATAGTCTATATCTCCCTCATGTTGCCCACTATAGTCTATATCTTCCTCATGTTGCCCCACTATAGTCTATATCTCCCTCATGTTGCCCACTATACTCGTAGTCTATATCTCCCTCATGTTGCCCCACTATAGTCTATATCTCTCTCATGTTGCCCACTATAGTCTATATCTCCCTCATGTTACCCCACTATAGTCTATATCTCCCTCATGTTGCCCACTATAGTCTATATCTCTCTCATGTTGCCTACTACAGTCTATATCTCCCTCATGTTACCCCACTATAGTCTATATCTCCCTCATGTTGCCGACTATAGTCTATATCTCTCTCATGTTGCCTACTACAGTCTATATCACCCTCATGTTGCCCCACTTTAGTCTATATCTCTCTCATCTTGCCCACTATAGTCTATATCTCCCTCATGTTGCCCCACTATAGTCTATATCTCTCTCATGTTGCCCACTATAGTCTATTTCTCCCTCATGTTGACAAGTATAGTCTATATCTCCCTCATGTTGCCCTACTATAGTCTATATCTCTCTCATGTTGCCAACTATAGTCTATATCTCCCTCATGTTGCCCCACTATAGTCTATATCTCCCTCATGTTGCCCCACTATAGTCTATATCTCCCTAGCATGTTGCCAACTATAGTCTATATCTCCCTCATGTTGCCCACTATAGTCTATATCTTCCTCATGTTGCCCCACTATAGTCTATATCTCCCTCATGTTGCCCACTATAGTCTATATCTCCCTCATGTTGCCCCACTATAGTCTATATCTCTCTCATGTTGCCCACTATAGTCTATATCTCCTTCATGTTGCCCCACTATAGTCTATATCTCTCTCATGTTGCCCCACTATAGTCTATATCTCCCTAATATTGCCCAACTTTTGTCTATATCTCCCTCATCTTGCCCCACTATAGTCTATATCTCCCTCATGTTGCCCCACTATAGTCTACATCTCCTTCATGTTGCCCCACTATAGTCTATATCTCTCTCATGTTGCCCCACTATAGTCTATATCTCCTTCATGTTGCCCCACTATAGTCTATATCTCCCTCATGTTGCCCCACTATAGTCTATATATCCCTCATGTTGCCCCACTATAGTCTATTCTAGTATCTCCCTGATGTTGCCCCACTTTTGTCTATATCTCCCTCATGTTGCCCACTATAGTCTATATCTCCCTTATGTTGCCAAGTATAGTCTACATCTCCCTCATGTTGCCCCACTATAGTCTATATCTCCCTCATGTTGCCCCACTATAGTCTGTATCTCCCTCATGTTGCCCCACTATAGTCTATATCTCCCTCATGTTGCCCCACTATACTCGTAGTCTATATCTCCCTCATGTTGCCCCTCTATAGTCTATATCTCCCTGTTGCCCACTATATACAGTGCTTATATACATGTTTATAAGCTGCCAGGCACTATGTCCAGAATTGCAGTGTGTAGTTGAAATACCTGTGGCTGGTTCTTGGTGCTTTCCCTCCAGAAGAGTGGGTGCATGAGATTGTTCCTGACATTGACAGAGCGTAGACTAAGACGGCAGGCGGATCCTGGCAGTGCTGGAAGCTGGTTCCCCTCCACGTTCAACTCCAGTAGATTCCTGTTCAGAGAAACATGTAGGACATGTCAAACAGTTATTCAAGTCAGAGATATTGCACAACTAAAACTGTTAAAGCAAAATAAGCTTTACACTTTGCTTTATAAGTATAAATACAAATCTACCATAATAATATTTTCATCTCATATTAAAGTATGTAGGTGTTTAAAACTTCATCCAAAAAAGATATTACGTACAAGGGGACAAGAAACTACAGAACTAGTTCGCCATGCTTTATCAAGGAGAAACTAACTGCAGTGTTTCATGAGAAGTGAAAATAGAAAATATTGTTACCCCAGTTTGCAGATTTCATTTGGAATGAAGGTGAGTCTGTTGTAGGAGATATCAAGATGTTCTAGGGATGTCATGTCAAATAGGCTGGATGCAAACACAAAAGCATAAAAAACTATAGTATCCTGCCTAATTATCTATCACCTGTTTCGTCCTTCTGACTACTCTGAACATATTATCTCTGATGGAAATGGTCATACCTAAACTGAAAAAAGTAGTGCAAAACTGAAGTTTATTTCATAATTACAGTTGCACATAACGCATTTATACATACCGGTAAATAGGTTCAACAATGTAAAATAAGTACCGTTGTTACACTTGTCATCACCATAACAAGAGCTGTTGACACAACTTATTTCTAATAACTTATTAGGAATGTTCGATTTGCTCGTAGATAAAAGATTAAATCAGATACAATTTCTTGTAGATCTGTACAAGAAACTTGCTGACTTATCCTGAAGACCAGTGAGGTGCAGGATATACCTGATGGGCAGGGAAGACAGGAGACAAAAGGACACCACCAATGTCCTCAATTTGCTGAGCTTGTTCATGTCTGGGGGGAGCTCTATGAGTGGGTTATTCCTCAGTTTCAGCACTTCTAACTGGCCCATCTCCAGAACTTCCAGGGGCAAACCCTTCAACAGAAACCACCTAATTACAGTGGAACCCCTAAAAACCGGCAGCCCTCCAATCCGGTATGCTCTCAATATCGGCACTAGAATTTGGTCCCAGCAGAAGCTAGTTAATTTATGATCATATACACGCTCTCTAATCCGGCGTCAGTCTATTCCATATTTCGGGCACAACAAAGACCGCCCAATTGACTGTTTGTACATTAATTAACGCTCTCTAAACCGACATCCGGTATCTCTGCTCTCCTGTTGATTGGCTGATTGGCTGAACGTGTATTAACAACACAGTGGATTACCATCAGCATTAAGCTCATCAATGATGCCTGATAAAACGAGTTTGGATAAGGATTAGGCCTAAGTAGGTAAGGTAAATTGGTGAGTGGCACATGTCACTTGTTTTATAAATTAATTGTCGTGTCACAATTTGTCAGTCGCTCATCGTGTCAAGATAGCTAGACCAGTCAAGCGGGCTAGATTGAAATTAACTCTTGAACAGAAAATTCAGCTGATAAAAGATTTTGATGCGCAATTCCTCGGCCTGCTCAAAAAGATCTTGCACGTAAGTACCAAACTGGCAGGCAAACAGTTTCAGACGTTTTGAAAAAGCATCAAGTGTATGAAAGTAAATTCGAACAAAACATCAATTCAAAAAACAAAACTTGTGAATGAAAACAGTAAATTTGACAAAATTAACACACTAACGCACATTCAGTTTGCTTCAGAATTAAATGTCAATGAGTCTTAAGTCACACAGAAAATCATTCTCAGGTTGAAAAGGGAAAAGTTCTCTAAACCGGCACACCCTCTATACCGGCCGGTCCCAACGAATGCCGGTTAAGAGGGCTTCCACTGTACATACACAGCATCTCAGAACATCCTGTAGGGTATAAACAACATAGATTCCACATTTGTAGAGCAACTATTTTCAAAACCACCCAAAAGAGGACAACTTTTAGTTATATGTTACAACTACATAGAGATGACATGCACACACTTCTACCACGATCAGTGTGTAAGTCACTAGACAGGGGTGGATACAGCTTTTTGAGAAAGGAGGGGCGCACACTTCATTTTCACCCGTTTTCATGGGTTATTTAATAAACTTTCAGGACAAAAAGGGGTGTGTGCACACCCCTGCATCCCCCTCTGGATCCGCCTATGCTAGATCATCATACATATCAAACAATGCTGCAGCAGGACACCCACTCTGAAGTCATTGAAGGACAGGTTGAGGTAGGTGACCGTCTTCACTAGCGGTGTCACGTCCGGCACTTCTGATATGAAGTGGGCCTACAACATACAAGCTTCACATAAACATCTCCATGTGTTCCACTTGTATCAGGTGCTGTACTACACACGGTTAAGAAACAGTTTTGTTTTTCTTGCATTACAGTTGGCAATGAAAGATCCGTTTCCTCTTACACTTTGTCAGGCCATATTTAACTGGGGAGCAACTATTCAGAAGTTATCCATTAAGTCAACTTCTCAAAGAGAACAAATTGTGATTAACAGCTTACAAACACTGGAATTTGTTGGGGGGGTTTCAACATAAACAGGGTCAGGCCTACCATACAAACGGTGAACAAATCATCAAAACTGAACTCATACACAACAAAACAGAACAAACATCACCAAAACTGCAACAATATCCTCTAAAACCGAAACAATACATCTGTAATGGAAGACTAATCGTTTGAAATGGAAACAAAACTCGTGTATCAGCTACAAGAGTTTGTTTGTATGCCACTGTTTCACACTGCACGTATGGTCATGTTCTCAGACGAAAATCTTCTAGTTTCATCTTACTTTTATGAAGTCATTCAGTGAATATATTTCTTTCAGATATCTCTGTGATACCGAACCTTCTGAAAATTCCAACGTTTGAGTGTATGCCATATAAAGAGTTGTTCATAAATCGGGTAACATTGCGTTCTCATCAGAGAAGGAAACATGAACTTGCTTATAATTTCAACTGTGAATTGTGTATCAGGGAGATTTTATCATTCTGCAATTTTATCTTTTCCATGTACTTCAAAGTATTCCCAAACATTTTACATCATTTAACAAAAAATAAAGTTTAACTTGAGGTACAAAAATGCGTCCGTCTGTGGACTTGAAACAGAAATCCCTGCCCTAATCAGTGGATTGAGTTCGCACTCGTACACTTTAAAAATGATCACTTATATATGCAATTCACAGAGAATGAACAAAGTTTTTGTAAACTTTTTAAATCACTAAAATATAGTAATGTTGCATGTGATGCTATGAATACTTTATTTACAAAACTGAAAAGAAACTGTAGCACGGCATGTTGACAAGAAATCCTATTCGGTCGAACGAGGGACCACATTGTGCAGAATTGCAAGCCTGACACTTTGAAGTATGGACATAGGTTTGAAGCTTACTACAATAGGGGGTTTATGCACTACATCCCGATATCAAATTTTCAAGATTAGACTCATAGTGACGAAAAACAATTATGTACCAAAGCCTATTCGTCTCCCCTTGCCGCCATCTTTGACGATTTGTATGCCGTTTCGGGATGCTATGACTGCCGTGTTGGGATGCTATGAATGCCGTTTTGTACGTTCAGCGACCCTTCTCGAGCACACTTGTAGCTGATACGCGAGTTTTGTTTCCATTTCAAACGATTAGTCTTCCATTACAGATGTATTGTTTCGGTTTTAGAGGATGTTGTTGCAGTTTTGGGGATTTTTGTTCTGTTTTGGTGTATATGAGTTCAGTTTTGATGATTTGTTCACCGTTTGTATGGTAGGCCTGAGGGTAAGCACAATGTTGAGGACTTAAAACTGTAACAAATGTTATCTCATTCCTACGTTTGCAAAATTAACTGTTTGGCTCATCAGTAAAACTAATTAATTTCAGTGAAGTAAAAGATGTAATGATGAAAATGTATGTAATGACAGAAGCACAGTTAAGCTCACACCTTTAGACTGAGTGCTGTCCCTCCACTGATCAGGGAGTCCAGAATGGCTAGTTCTGAAGGGGAGATAACTCCATCCTCTGGCACAGCTAAAACAAAGCATTTAAGAACATTAAATGGCTAAATAAAACATAGAAACATGTGTTTTACAGATAATTTTGACCCTGAAAATGTACAGATAGGTACTAAGTTAATTGGAGCTAAGTTATTATACTCAGACTAGAATATGTGGTATTAAAGAAGCACTTATATATGGCTTCAACCCGGCACTAGTACGTCTAACACTGCTACCAAGTATTCATAAGCTGCCGTATGATGATTTGACAGGTGCAACTGAGCATGACAAATACTTTGAGACAATGTTTTCTGCATATAAGCTAAACCACGCTAAGGGCGAGTGTAATTAGATTTCTTCAACCTTTACCAGGCGACAAAGGGAACAGAGGATGCCCATCTGAAATATCCCTGATTGATCTAGTCTGACTTTAAGAAAGTATCCCAGCAGAGCAAACATTTTCAGATTTCTGATGCATGGATGGTGCGATGACAGGGATTATGTACCTTGATGTGTAATCACGTTATGTCTTTTGTGTGGATATTGATGGATACATTATTCTTCAAGGAAGGTAACTGCCTGATATAACTGACATAGCTGTTATCGGCTGTATTTTTCTTCATTCATTTGTTGTAGCACAGAACAGAATCCTTCCACTTCATTTACATTATTGTCAGGAACCGTTCATAATTTATGGCTTAGGAGGGGTGATGATGATTTTTATGGAGAAGCATGTACAATGTTCATCTAGTGGTCAATAACTACCGTAGTCAATAACTAATGGGACTAGAGGGAGCTAATCGCGTTTGAGATCCATCACTTTTCATCCCAACCAAATGTATAAAACCATGCAAAATAATCTATACTGAAATTAAGATGTTTAACATCCTCTAATTTGTAATTCATAAGATTCTTTTGCCATTTGAAGTTTACATTATTTTACTGCAAACACTTGGTAAATGTTGTTTAGAAATCAGTTTGTCAGAGAAAAGTCTAGAACCATTGCATGGTTTCAGTAAATCCATTTGACATGAAGTAATGTGTAAACTCTACTCACAAATGTCACCAATACCTTTTAATGTACATTTAGATGATTCAGGTAAGATATTCAAAACCCGCAAATAACCTACATATTTACCTTTTATATCATTGTTTCCTTCAAATTGTCAAATGTCATTAAACCAGTTTCATGATCATTAATTGTCAAAATTCACCCTTTCACCACAGTTTCTGTTGTATGTGTTGGATTTTTACAATCCTGCAGTCAGACTTACTGAAAGGCGAGCGACTCCTCCCTGAGCCCTGGAAGTATTGGGTCTGTGCCGAATGGAAGACTGCATCCGAGGTTGGCAGCTCTGAATCTCTGGAAAATTCATAATCATATTTCACACATACTAAAAAATAGGTTCAATCAGAACAAACTGACAAATACACTTCAGAATTATATTACCAGTTGATAAATGATCACATACCCTGTCTAAGCTTAGTTGTAAGTTGCATTACTGCTGCTCACAGGTGAATATTACCATCAATGTCTTATGAGTCACTGCACTTCATATTACCTCTGAATTTATACTGCCTCATGATATTGTACTGACATAGAGATACCTTTGCAGAGACTTGCCCTGATTTGGGAATGCAATTGTGAACTACAGCACATGTATATTGTTTGTTGGCTTCACGCCAAGTTCTTTCAGAGACTGATTCCTAATTCAACGTTTTAGTGTCAACTTGGGAATCAACACGTAGCAACACATTACTCACACTTTCTTCTTGGATATGAAACTCAGTCTTTCAGCAGTGTCATCTTCATATAGAATAATTTCTGTGTGAGGCATCTTCTCACTCTGGTAGGAAGGGCTGTACTTTGGCATTTGTTTGATGACTGTTTTAACCTCCGTGTTGATGAGTTCTCGTACATGAGACTTGATCATTGCTGCCATCTCGTACAACAGCTGGCGCTGAGGGATGCGCGGCTCACATGCAGGCACATTCTGACCTGAAGACATCCAGGTGCATACACTTATTCACTCCACTAAGTTCCACTACGTACAGAACTGTTCACCAGTATAAGTTTTAACCCTGTAAAATAGTCACTCATAACATCTGTAAGGCAAACCACATGACTGGATGTAGAGCTCCATTAACATTTTGTTACTCTTCTTGCATTTCTTGCCTTCTTTTATGGTTATTATGATCAGTTTTAATACTATAACTGTTATGAGTTATATGTAGGAATGCACGGTATTACTGGTAAACTGGTATATCACAATACGCTTTTAAACGATACGTATTGCAATATTTTTTTCTGAGAAACGGTATATTGGGTAAAGAACTTATATAAAGTTTATTTGATTATCTTTATGGTTTAAGTCAAAATCTACACATACTGTCATTCACAACAAATGTTTTCCTTCGTTATTCAATGATAAAACAACATAGTCTGTAATACTATAAATTGTATAAAAAAGAAAATCCATGACTATGCAACCTAATTTTGAGATTGCTTTTATCAGAACCTTATCACATATATTAGTCTGGTAGGATGGGTACAGCATTCAAGTCCCATGGAAGTTTTGTGATGAAAGCAAGACATTGTGTTTTTTGCTACATAAATAAATAAAAAGTTTGGTTCCAAGTTGAAATATGGTGCAGATAGTACTTTTGAGCACTGTACAAAATGGTTGTGGAAAAGGTTGCTAAAAGGTCAGAAGGTCATAATGTGAGAGTTGAATATTTAAAGTTTGAGATTATTAACTTTATCCAAGTGTGTTTCTCTATTTCATGAAACATTTTATTAAAAGTAAACCCCAAATTATATTTTTATAAAAATTAAAAAAATATATATAATGAACACTCCCTCTCTCAAAATGGCAGCTAGCAGACGAAGTTAAGCAGCTGTAGGTTTTGTGCATTTTGTAAGTATATGATTGCTTCATTTCATCAACTCAATGTAAATCAAGTTATTAAAGAACAATTATGTATGAAACAAAAACAGAGATGTTTATTTTTGTTTGGTGAGACCGTCAGTAAGGGAGCAGTCCTTATTTCAAAATGTAGTTGGTCAATATCAGATTATGATTTATCAATTTCTTATTATTACGCTTGAAGTTTCTCTTCTAAAAGCAGAGTTCTGTGAAAATAGATAAGAATATAATGAAATGATGGGGGAGAAAACACTATTTTCTGCTTCACACTCTCTCAATTAAATCCCTTGAAATAATTTTCAAGTCATCAGATCGGATCATTCTAAAATGGTTATAATCTTTGAAAAAAAGATATACAAATACATGTGGGGAGAAATGTTTTTTATCAGCAGGATAGGAGAAGACACGGTGTCCATATTTAGCTTGGTTGACTTTGGGGATAACAAGAAGGTGTTGATTCCCTGATCTGAGATATCTAGATGGTGCATAAGCCTGAAGAAGATCTGAGAGTTAGACTGGAGCCGTGTTAGTCATGCACTGGTATGCGAGACAGAATAGTTTGAAGGAGATTCTGTGTTTCACGGCCAGCCAATGAGATCACGAGATGTGACTAGGCTGAGGCAGAGAGTTTTTGAGGCATCTTTGGTAAGAACGGTCCGGCCTTTGACATTGTGGAGATGGAAGTAGCAAGTTTTAGTAACATACTTGACGTGTACTGTCATACTTAGATCTTGATCGATGACAACATCCAGATCATTGACAGTGGAAGAAAGAGGAATGGTTGCTCCACAGACACACACAGTAGTAATGTCACACTGCTTGCGTTTTCCAGCCTGTCCCAGAAGAATGGTCTTTGTTTTCTCTTAATTTAATTTCAAGGCAATTGATGACATCCACGAATATCTTCTGGCAACAGTCTGATGTCTGACAGGAAGACGCTCTAGCTGATTCTGTGTTTGGTTGAAATAACTTCCACAGCTGCGTGTCATCTGCATAGAAGTGGTCAAGATTAAGGTTTGCTACAACAGAGCCAAGTGGAACAGTGCAGAGGGTGAAGAGGATCGGACCAAGCACGGATCCTTGAGGGACTCCGCACTCTAGCCTAAATGCGATTGACACAGACTCACCAACAACAACGGTTTGAGTCCTGTCCTGTAGATAAGATGCCAGCCAGGATAAAGCTGACTTGTCCTGTGTCAGTACCACATCGTAGGTCATTCGGGATCTTCAGCAGAGCCGTCTCTGTGCTGTGGTGTGCTGATATGAACACCTCATAGAGGTTATGCCAGGAAAAGTGGCCCATGAGACGACTGGAGACTGCACGTTCAATGAGTTTGGATATAAATGCTAAGTTTGAAACAGGCCTGGATCCTCCTAATCAAGGCTTGATTTCTTCAGATGGGCCTAATGAGAGCTGACTTGAGTACACTTGGGACATAACCAGATGAAGTAGAAGAGTTAATAATCAGCACTAATGTTGGTAAATATCAGTGAAACTATCAACATGAGTAAGAGAGGCGTGCCATCAAACATATTTGGAGGAAAATCAGCTTCATCCACAGCCGCAGAAGACGAAATCTTGTCATGAATGTTCTTGGATCTTTTTGTAGAAATAATCCGAAAATGTCTGTGCTATTACTTCATTGTCATCAGATGTCGGAAGTGTCGATTCAAAGTGTTTACTAAAGATACTGAACAAAGGTTTGAACAGCAACTTTGGACTTGACTCGTTGGCTTCAATCTTAGAATTGAGATGTTGATTTGTCTGATGACCGTTGTTGAGTGGTTTTGGCTGAAATATACATTTGGCGATGAATCTCCAGGAAAGACTGTTCTCCATCTGCGTTCTGCCTTCCTCTTGTCTTTTTTCGCTTGTCGAACTTCAGGTGTGAAGTCCCAAGCAGATGTTTTAGTGACTGGTATGACTCTGTCCTTCACTGGTGCATGTTTGTCTATATAACAGCTCAGATAGAACTCTATTGTATAGCAGAACGAGACTCTCAGCATCAGATGGTGGCTCAAGTATAAGGTCTGAGTTTAGCAAATTGTCTTTAAAAGTATCCATATCCAGGGAGCGCATGTTCCTACAGAGAGTAATCTTCACATTTGGACTTGGTATTGAGAGGTCCAAGCTCACAAAGATATTGAAATGGTCAGATAGCTATAGATCCTATACAGGTACACAACTGACACACGCGTCTGAAGCACGGGTAACTATCCAGTCCAGAGTGTGTCCACCTCTGTGGCTTGCCTCTGACAGGAGTTGTACACAGTTGTGGACTTCAAGGAGATTTAGTATTCGTTTAGTGTCATGGTTATCCTTGTTGTCAAAATGGAAATTGAAGTCACCTACAATGATAAGAGCTACTTCGTCAACTTATCCAGTCTGTGCCGAGATGGTGCCGAGAAGTAATTGCTGCCAATGGTGGCCATACAAAGAACTGACTTTGACGCCATCTTGAGGACTCAAGCAAACAGAAACACAACAGTAAAGGCTTTGTCTATAGACGTTTGAATTTTCACCTTTTTACTATTGGGATTACATGACATAATAGCTCTTAAACTAATGCAAGAAATGCTTCTAAAACATTGCTTGGGCGTTTCTTTTTTTGAGCAGTATATTTCTGGGTCTTAGTTTCATGTAAAGACCTCTTCTATAGTTGATAAACAGGGTAAAAAGTATATTCCTTTTTCATATTGTACTAGTTCTATACAAAATATATGCCTCGTGAAGAAATGGGATTTTCATTCATCATTATAACTTTTAGATAAAAAAATGACTCTTTAATGTAAATTTAAGACTAAAATCAAACTAAAAAGATCTGGTGACTTACAACATATGAGAAATATATTCCGTAACCAAATAAATATGCATGGTATTTGATATTAAAACCATTGTTTTGTTCCCATTTTTTGCAACTTTTTCAGTTCCCGGTTAAATTTTGGCGGCCATCTTGGATTTTGAGCTAAAAATAGCTTTCGCATCAATATTCAGATTGGAACCAAACATTTTTTAACTCCTTTAACATATAAACACAAAAGAATATATGATTTGCTTTCATCAAAAAACTTTCACGGAATCCCATAAGCTCCTTGACTATATGTTAGTTGACTTATAATGTAGAATGTAATTTTTTAAGTAAAATTGATATTTTTATACTTATCCGGACTCATGATCTTTTGCTTATCTCCCTTTCCTTTTCGAATGGTAGTGGAACACTTGAATCCCTTGAAGTTCCCGAAGCGGATGTAAAAATACACTCACCCATGAGTTACCTCCCTTTTGCCCTTTTCCCGCGCAAACAGTCATCTCTGCATTTCTGCCCATGCACTTATATCTGCTGTGAAATCCAAAGTGTCTTCAGCGGGGAGGTTGGGAGGGCTCCTCGTCATGAGTCAGGATAAGTATAAAAATATCAATTTTACTTAACAAATTAGTCTGCCGAAATGCCAGCAGGTGAAGGCGACCTCCAAAGCATATAACCGAAGAAGAGAGTAACAAATTACATATTTTTACTTATCCTGACTCATGATCTTTTGCTTATAGAATCCGATGGATTGGTGGTGGGTCAAGCCACCTCGTGGCTTCATCAGCTGTCCTTGGATATGTCCTGTATCCCCCCCCATGGGAACTGCGAAACGGCATTTCATTGATCCTATTCTTCCAACTTCCGTTATAACTCGTGGGGACCACTTTCTTGTCTTACTTCAGTCTCAGACAAGTTGAATCATGTTGATTCATGTGGCTACAGATAAACTAGTATCTTCTTATTACTAGATATCTCATAACAACCCATAGATTATGATAAGATCTTTATCATAAATGAGTTATGACCCCTTCACGTACAGGTAAGATCTTTACCCATACAGGATCTTTAGTCACTCATGCTAGCCTGTGCTAGAGTCAACGTGATAAAGGGTGAGATTTTCCAACTCAGAGCCTTTGAGGAACCGTTAGTTGCTGTGCTACAAAGGGGAGGCCCAAACTGGTGAATGCCTGAGACGTCTTCAGTGGCTATGTCTCCGAGGTAGTGGTTGGCAAACACTGTGTCCGACTTCCAAAAGCAGCCCTCCATAATTGTTGGTATAGAGCAATTTCTGTGCAGAGCCAGTGTTGCGCCAGTGCTCTGACTTCGTGTGGGTTGGAAGCTCTAGGAGGTTCTAGTCCTGCTGCTTGATAGGCTCTCAATATGACGGCTCTCATCCAGAATGATATGGTCGTTCTTGAGACTTCTGCTGATGTCTCTATTGATAATGGGATGAACAGGCGCTTGAATTTTTGTCTCCTTGTCTCAGTCTTTTGAAGATATATCTTCAAGGTTCTGACTGGACACAAGGATAGGTCTTCTATATCCTGTGGGCCGAGGATTGTAGATAGCACTGGTACGTGGAACAGTCAATCTGGCTGACCAGGTAGTTGGCTCTTGGCAATGAAGTCCCATCTAAGTCCTAGATGAACTGCAGCATGTTGCCCCCTGTTGAATCTGGTTTGACCAAAGTCCAGCGCATGTATCTCTGATATTCGAGCTGCCGTGGCTAGCGAAAGCAGGAACAGAGTCTTCTGTGTAAGCAGCTCGAGGGTAGTCTGGTCTAGTGGTTCGTAGGCATCACTCGTAAGATGACGCAGAATTACATTCAGATCCCAGGATGGAGCTCTGAATTTCTTTTGCTGGTCCTCCAGCTTAAAAGATCTCAGCAAAGCAAGTAACTCTGGTACTTTCATCAACTTGATGCCTGTTTTCATGGTAATCACTGTACTGATGGCGGCGAGGTATGTAGATAGTGTCGAACCCTTCAGATGTCTGGTCTGTCTAAGATGACACAGATATTCCGCCACTTGAGGATGAGTGGCTATCATCGCAGTGAAGCCTTTCCGCCTTGCATAAGTGTCAAAATTTAGCCATTTGTCGTCATATAGGTTACGAGTCGATCTGCGTAATGCCAGCATTACTGCTTTGGCTGCCCTGGCGGAGTATCCTCATTTCTTCAAGCATGTTTAGATACTGTCCACACGTGTTACTGGAACACTGTTGGGTTTCCATGGACTTGCTTGGTGTGCGGATGTATTAGTAGGTTCGGACAATCTGGTAATTTGATTACTGGGTTTCCGAGATCTATTAGGTCTGGGAACCACGCTCTCGCTGGCCAGTAAGGCGCGACCAAAGTCAGTTGTAGCGTCTGAGTCTGCTTGATCTTGAACAGTACTTTTGGCAGTAATATCTGGGGTGGAAAAGCGTAGCCGTTTAATCCTTCCCACGACATGCTCAGTGCATCTGTTGCCCAGGCTTGAGGATCTGGAACTGGTGAGACAAACGTCTCTAGTTGTTTGTTGAACCTCGTGGCAAACAGGTCTATGCAAGGGGATGCTATCTCCCTTATGTTCCGAAACACTTCTGGATGGAGCATCGATTCCGTAGGTGACGGGTGTAATGGTCTTGAGAGAGCGTCTGCCAGTACGTTCTTGGCTCCGGGTATGTGACACGGCTTTATCCAGGTGTTTGTTTCCTGTGTGATCTGGAACAACTGGAATGTGAGCTGCAATAGGCTTGGAGACCTTGTGGTTCCTTGCCGGTTTATGGAGAACGCTACTGTAGAGTTGTCCGTATGCATCATCAACATCTTGTTGTTCAGCAAACTCGATCATAGTTGTAAGGCGTTGATCACTGCTTTCATCTCTAGCAGATTGATGTGCAGTTTTTGTTCTATTTTGGACCACTTTCCCAAGGCCACTTGATCGTTGAGATGCGCACCCCATCCTTGCATCAAGGCATCTGTGTAGAGATGCGTGTCGAAGGCCGGCTCTTGTAAATAGGTCCCTTCGCAAATGTTAGACCTGTGTGTCCACCACAGTAGATATCTCCTGAGGTTTTCCGGCAGCAAGATAGGGTCGACGCTGTCTAAATGTTTTATCAGGAACCGTTGCAGCGGTCTTAGTTGTAACCTTCCTGTGCGAGCCAAGTCCTGTGCCGAGGAGCACAGACCGAGTAGCACTTGTCATGATCGTAGTGTTAGCGGAGAGATGACTGCTGGCAGAATCATGGCTTGTATCTTGACCCAGCGGCTCTCTGGGACGGCAATCCGATTCTGTGTGGTGATAAACCTTATCCCCAGGAATTACAGGTCTTGTTTTGGTTCCAACTCTGACTTCCTCAGGTTCACCAACCATCCTAGTTGAGTGAGCAACTTGATTGTGAAGTTCAGTTGTCGTTTGAGTATACTGGCATCTTGGTGAACCTGAATTCCGTCATCCAAGTAGAAGGCATTGCGTAGACCTCGATGATGTAGGTATGCAACTATAGGCTTGGTTATTCGTGTGAATAGCCACGGAGCCGAAGATATCGAAGGCTTCAAAGGATCAGAGTCAGCAACTACCATCATTTAATAAGAGAAGATTCCCCTTACACCATATGGATCCATTTGTGAAGGCGCCGGATTGGGATGATAACATCAAACTGGTGAATGATGCCCGGAATAAGATGTATAAAGTGGAAGACAAAAAGCTATCGCAGTTCGATACTGCCACAAAGAGATCCTTCTTTGGGCTGGCCAGATCCAGAGCTATCAATGAAGCATTGATAAATAAATTCCAGAATTCAACTCCGGAAGAGGATAAGATGATATACTCAGCCCTCGTTACACAAAAGAAGGATCAATTCTTTTTGTCGGACCACCTCACATCAATATCTGCGGGACTCACCTTGATACGCAGACAGGGACAACTGTCGTCCTGCTCTTGGAGCGATAGATTCACCCAACCTCTACTAAGAGCTTTATGGGAGGCCTAACATATTTGGAGATCTAATAGAGTCTTCTCCTCTCATGAACCGATGCAGCTAAAGGAAGCTACGATTCTCCTGGATGATAACAGAGAGGTGACGATGATTAGAACCATAGATACTCTGGCCAACGTCATCCGCAATACCTCTCAGAAGTATAACAACAAGTAGTAGTAGAGGTTGATTGCGTCACTGATCTCATTGATACTTCTGGTAGAAGTAATGAGGGTTCGTTAAAGACGTCTATCTCGTGAGGCGGTACAATCTCTTCGTTGAAGGACTTCTGGTGCGTAGCTGAGCTAACACATGTAGCTTTGCCTTCAGGTCTGGTAACCGTAGACTTCTTCTGCGTTGAAGAAGAGGATGACGTCTTTTTCTTAGTCTGTGACGGCGTTGATAGAGATGTAGACGATCTCTTTCTGGCCCCCTCACCAGCAGACTGCGCCTGCAATGCACTCGACACAGCATCAGCATTATGAACATTGACATTAGCAAGCAGTTTGTAGGCTGATCTGCAGTATTATCAGGTATGACTTGAGATGCCTTTCTCGACCGATCCATGGCACGTCTATAAATATAAGACAAATATTGATTAAACTGAAGGTTTGATAAATCAATACAATAGCTACGCGCAAGCTGGAGGAACATGGAATGATGGATTTATGTACGAGAGCATTGGGGGTGAGGATCAGCCACGGATAACCTGTGCCTGCAAACAATACAGGATTTCATGAAACGTTACATGATGATGAAATTACGACTCAAATTCAATGAAATTTTTACAAAACTTTACAAATACTACATAGTAGTTATAACCAAAACCATATACAGCGTAATTTGGAAGACTAGATCTAAATAAAAAGGTATATGATGCCGTATACGCAACTCCAGTGCTCGCCCAACCATCCGCTTGAAAAGGGAGAGAGTGAAAAGTATGGACACGTCATGATATGGTTTGCACGGGAAAGGGCAAGGGAGGTAACTAGTGGGTGAGTGTATTTATACGTCCGCTTCGCGAACTTCAAGGGATTCAAGTGTTCCACTACCATTCGAAAGGGAAAGGGAGATAAGCAAAAGATAATGAGTCAGGGTAAGGAAAAATAAATCTGATTGATGTACATAAATAGCGTCACGTCAAGTTCCAAATATATCGCAATCGCAATACGGGTACCTGAATCGCAATATATTGCAATACAATTTTTTTTTGCCAACACACCCGCCCTAGTTACATGTGCACCAGATATTAGCAGAGGAAAATCCTTGTCTATCCTTGATAATAGTAGCAACATGGCTACTTCAGGGTATGGTTAACTTAATCATATAATATGATTCATATATCCATAACCCAATGCTTCAGCAAGGGTGCAGATTATGTTTATTTATGAATCTTCTATAGTTTCATCACTTGAGTCGAAACATTCCACAAGTGAACTATTCTGTGCCACTGGTTATTGTTGACATGTTTTCCTACACAAATGCTGAAACTTTATTTGGAGCAGACTACAGATAGCTACAAGCAATAAAAACAGTGCTTACTGACACACTATATATGATATTGTAGTGAGTGAGTGAGTTTAGTTTTACACAGCACTCAACAATATTCCAGCTATATGGCGCGGCGGATATCATACTGTAACTGATGTGAATCAACACATATGGGGGAAGAGTTGTGTAATTTGCAGTATTTAACTAAATGTGTGTGTGTGTGTACGTGTGCTAGTCTTGTACTAACAGTTGCAGACCTTGTTGTGTCTCCTGGATGCTGAGTGAAATGCAGGGTAACAACAAGTACCACCTTGTTTTTCATAAACTATGACATTCCACTCTCCAGCATCCACTGGTCTCGCATTACTTAGATGTATAATTGGCTGCAGGTAATGTGTGTACTAACCTTCTGGGGTGAACGTCACCTCATGCACAGATTGCTGAACTGGTGGGTATATATGTGTTTCTGCCAGCAGTTTAGTGAGTTTTTTATAATTGTGCCTTGAACACACAGCGTCTTTAACTCTTCTCATTGGCACATGGTTCATCCTTGCAACATGTCTCAAAAAGTTATCCAGAGTAAATGCAGGTGGCTGATAGTATCGCATCTCATCAGGCTCACAGTCAAACCACACCTCATTAACTGTTCTTGGTTCTCTGGGTGGGAACGGATCAGGCCCTCGGGGTTTAAAAGGTTTTGTTAATCTCTTTCCATCAATGTATGTCCCCACTGTGCTTCGACCTCGAAAAAGTGGGTCCAAAACATACTTCAAATCATCTCTACTGATGAAGGATGTGCCATGACTTTCAGGAGAAGTGTATGTGTTCATCCTGAATGTTCTCCTAGTGGGAACAGACTCTGATGGGGGTGGAGACACCAGACTCGGTGCCCCACTTGGAATTGGTGACATAGACTGGTAATAGTCAATCTCTTGCGAGTCACAGCGCATGGATTCCACGTCATTGTATGCTTCAAAGGTTTTGCTTGGACTGAAGCAGCTGTCTGTTTTAGGGGAGGGACATGGAGACAGTGGTGGCAGAGGTTTGGGGACCTGGGGGCGTCGCAACAGCTTCCCTCCTGTCTTCCCTGTTGATTTTAGCCCTGGAACGATGGTCACCAACTGCAATAGAATGATGAAGTACGTTGTTTGGTCCACATGAAGCAGAGTTGAGGTACTGAAGTACAGATAAACAGGGATAACTGGTCCATAATAACTCAAAAGTTCACTCATATAGCCTGACTGAATAATTCAATTCAGCTTCCCGGCCATGTCATAACAAACCTCTATAAACATTAATTCCCGCAAGAATTTTGAGAATAATGGATTCTAATTGGGTGAGAAGGGTGGTATACTATATTAATTTAAGTGTCCACCACTCTACATACTCTCATAGAAATCTGAACATCATACATCAAATCTGAACATCACACATAACTGATGAATGTCTGATTATACAGATTACTATGGCCAGATATCCCAAGGTATTTTTTCTTCCTGCAAATCATAATAAAATTGTGTTCATTTATATCACCCTATATATGGATGTGATGCAAAAAATTGCTTAAATCATAGACATAAATGTTCATGACCTTTTCCTTTCATACACTATCCCTTTCAAAGTGTAGACATATTGAAAATCATCTTCTTTTTGATGATCATAACATGCTAACCTAAGATAAAATTTGTTCTGTATTCTTGACCAGGTATACTAGGTCCAATTCATTATTTTAACTGCTGAAATATCAGGATTTGCAACAGGGTTTTATTTTATGGTTTCTTCACTTTTGTTTCATGGCTATCTTCTACACTGAAAACACAGGTATAAGATTTATGCCAGGGTTTGTAATAATGAAAACATGTTACCACCTAAAATCAAGATTGTTTCATTCTTCTGAAAAATAAGGGAGCACTTCACAATCTATTGTCTTGACACTCTCTGACGTAAATGTGTCACAATAACTATCATAAACTATGCTGTTGCCAATTTTGTGCATCATAGGTGATGTAAGTGCTTTGGAATTTACAAAACTTGGTTTTGTGACATACAAATTCATTAAATGAGCAGCTTTTCTCTTTGTGAAGCAATGTACTGATGGATAAGTCTATGTATGCATTTGTGGTTTTATAAAATTTGTAGGTACACATGCATTACACCTAACCCTTACCCTAAACCCCTCAAAATAATCCTGATAAATGAAACATATGGTACCCACTGTAATGCATTCTTATCCATTCAGAGTTCAACATTTGAGATAAGGAAGAGTGGCATGTTTTTGTAACAGCAGTGAAATGTGGACATTTCACGCAGAAGATGATAGGTGACTTGTTATGTAAGATTTTGGAAGTTTGTCGCAATGCTGGTGAATTGACAAATCTTGGAAAAATAGTTATAAAAACCCAAACCTTTAATTTAAGACTGTTGTGAACATGCTATTTGTTGGCACGAACATCACACATTACTATGATAAGGAACTTGTAATACACAAACATACACTATCTGACGGGTATCTTACGCCTATATTTAGTTGTCAACTCGAGAGCGTATCACGGATGTATACAACCAGGGGGATAGGATATAACTTTAATCACTACTTTTCTTTCTATTTGGCACTGACAGTTTCGTTTCTTTACAGTTCATTTCCCTCCATATTGTGAGATCGTGTGTGTAGCAATGGCACACAGTCAATTTCAACATTTTCATGGAAAACCAAACGAAAAAGCTTCTCACCGACGGTTTTGTGTTCCGCACACCTGTCGCCATTTTGACGCCGTTGGCATAACTACTGATCTCGTTGGCGCGTTCAACGAGACTTGACTAGCGTGTAAGCTCCCCACAGCGAACATGTGAGGAGCTTCCGAACTAGTGCATCGCTGACGCTCGGGTTCGAAGTACGCGCTGTACACATTCGTGACCAACTCGTGGTTATTCCGGGACGAGCCGAATAGCGAGGTTACGGAAAGAGGCAAGTGGTGACGAATAGTCTATACACAGTGTCATGTCGGACACGCGATGTTAACAAAGGAAACCAGGGAAACTTCATTAAATTTCCGGCGCTGTGGTGATTTAGCATTGTACATCATAAGCATAGGCACCCGACTCTGATATATTTATAAGCATGACCTATATATAAGATATATAGGTCATGCTTATAAATATATCAGAGTCGGGCGCCTATGTCTCGTACGTCACACGAGTGTCGTATCGCGTTGACCTGTATCGTAACGACTTGACCTGAGATTCTAACGATTTGATTGGATAACTATTGACCTCTCATTTAGGTCACATTCTGACGTAACAATTTTTCCATTCATAACAAACACGTGAATTCATTCATTCTACAACTTAAATGCATTGTGGGAATGTAAACATTGCGAACGTTTGCCGTGTCGCTGTTTAATTGTGAGTCGAACTTAGACATTATATCCGTCGAAAAACATAAACGCAATGTTTCCACCAGTGATGTTAGTCGAAAGAAGCAACTGCAAACCAAGACACCGGGTGCTACATAGTAGTTTACTGTAGGAGGCTGTACGAGGCGATGACAACTGACATGCATCGTGACATCGGTTACCAAGGCAGTGACGTCATTACAGTGTGACGTTATGCAAATATTGTACTACAGTACAAAACTCTTCCGCAACCTCTTTATGAAACCGGTTTCGGTTTGAAACCATAAAAATAACAAAAATACGCTATTTTGTCAATTTAATGCATGTAAGATATGCCGCTAAATATTAGCAACGAGAAACACATTCAAAACATGTAAAATGTTCATAGTAGCTGTGATGAGAACCACGTCAATTCAGCATAGAATGAAATCACAGTTTATTTAAAACTTAAGCACATTGGCGTGAAGTTGCATTGCGTTGAAAATTGAGGTTTGTTGTAAAAGTTTGAGTCTCATGCAAAGTTCCTAAGAATGTGTATATAGCATTAAAAAAAAGTTGGGGATATTCCATTTTGCGAGCATACCAGTAGCCAATGCCAATGCATATGAGAAAAAGTAATATATATCCATACAGATGAAAGAAACATTTCCAAATTTCCCTTAATTTCTCTTCATCATCTGTTTCCTCCTTGGCTTTATCAATCTTGTAAATCCAATATCTCCTACTTTTTAATAATGGTATCTATATGTCACTTCTTCAGCTTCTTGAGTGGCTGTTTGCACATGGCATGGTGGCAGCGATGATACCGGGAGGGTAACGAAAGTGTAACGCGCAGGAAAGAAGCTGGGTACTGCACGTCCGAGATGCTTCGGAATTACACACACATTCAGTCCACGGCCCCTGCTTCATACCCGTGAAGATTCGGGTTAGAATTTATCTTCAGCAGCCCATGGATGTTTGTCGTTAGAGGCAACTAACAGGATCGGGTGGTCAGGCTTGCTGAGCACGGCGTTAAACAACAAACAAACACAAATTGAGATACTTTACTTAAAAAACAAAGGCACCGACTGTACATTATCCTGGGATCGATAAACTAAACGTTTTGAGTTACATGGCTGCCTGGGTACAGCGTGGCACACTGTTTGTTATGAGAGGACATCATGGCTGCCTGGGTACAGCATGGCACACTGTTTGTTGTGAGAGGACATCCTGGCTGCCTGGGTACAGCATGGCACACTGTTTGTTGTGAGAGGACATCCTGGCTGCCTGGGTACAGCATGGCACACTGTTTGTTGTGAGAGGACATCCTGGCTGCCTGGGTACAGCATGGCACACTGTTTGTTGTGAGAGGACAGCATGGCACATTGTTTGTTGTGAGAGGACATCCTGGCTGCCTGGGTACAGCATGGCACATGGCTGTTTGTTGTGAGAGGACATCATGGCTGCCTGGGTACAGCATGGCACACTGTTTGTTGTGAGATCCTGGCTGCCTGGGACATCATGGCTGCATCTGGGTACTGGGTACAGCATGGCACACTGTTTGTTGTGAGAGGACATCATGGCTGCCTGGGTACAGCATGGCACACTGTTTGTTGTGAGAGGACATCATGGCTGCCTGGGTACAGCATGGCACACTGTTTGTTGTGAGAGGACATCATGGCTGCCTGGGTACAGCATGGCACACTGTTTGTTGTGAGAGGACATCATGGCTGCCTGGGTACAGCATGGCACACTGTTTGTTGTGAGAGGACATGGCACCTGGCTGCCTGGGGTACAGCATGGCACACTGTTTGTTGTGAGAGGACATCCTGGCTGCCTGGGTACAGCATGGCACACTGTTTGTTGTGAGGAGGACATCATGGCTGTTTGCCTGGGTATCATGGCAGCATGGCACACTGTTTGTTTGTTGTGAGAGGACATCCTGGCTGCCTGGGTACAGCATGGCACACTGTTTGTTGTGAGAGGACATCATGGCTGCCTGGGTACAGCGTGGCACACTGTTTGTTGTGAGAGGACATCATGGCTGCCTGGGTACAGCATGGCACACTGTTTGTTGTGAGAGGACATCATGGCTGCCTGGGTACAGCATGGCACACTGTTTGTTGTGAGAGGACATCCTGGCTGCCTGGGTACAGCATGGCACACTGTTTGTTGTGAGAGGACATCCTGGCTGCCTGGGTACAGCATGGCACACTGTTTGTTGTGAGGACATCCTGGCTGCCTGGGTTTGCATTGTTGTGTTGTGAGGACATCATGGCTGCCTGGGTACAGCATGGCACACTGTTTGTTGTGAGAGGACATCATGGCTGCCTGGGTACAGCGTGGCACACTGTTTGTTGAGGACACCATGGCTGCCTGGGGAGGACATCATGGCTGCCTGGGTACAGCATGGCACACTGTTTGTTGTGAGAGGACATCATGGCTGCCTGGGTACAGCATGGCACACTGTTTGTTGTGAGAGGACATCATGGCTGCCTGCATGGCACACTGTTTGTTGTAAGAGGACACATGGCGCCTGGGGCACACTGTTTGTTGTGAGAGGACATCATGGCTGCCTGGGTACAGCATGGCACACTGTTTGTTGTGAGAGGACATCCTGGCTGCCTGGGTACAGCATGGCACACTGTTTGTTGTGAGGACATCCTGGCTGCCTGGGTACAGCATGGCACACTGTTTGTTGTGAGAGGACATCCTGGCTGCCTGGGTACAGCATGGCACACTGTTTGTTGTGAGAGGACATCCTGGCTGCCTGGGTACAGCGTGGCACACTGTTTGTTGTGAGAGGACATCCTGGCTGCCTGGGTACAGCATGGCACACTGTTTGTTGTGAGAGGACATCCTGGCTGCTGCCTGGGTACAGCATGGCACACTGTTTGTTGTGAGAGGACATCCTGGCTGCCTGGGTACAGCATGGCACACTGTTTGTTGTGAGAGGACACCCATGGCTGCCTGGGTGACTACGACGGACAGCGTGGCACACTGTTTGTTGTGAGAGGACATCATGGCTGCCTGGGTACAGCATGGCACACTGTTTGTTGTGAGGACATCATGGCTGCCTGGGTACAGCGATTAACAACCACAATGGCACAGCATGTTTGATATTTGTGAGAGGACATCATGGCTGCCTGGGTACAGCATGGCACATTGTTTGTTGTGAGAGGACACCATGGCTGCCTGGGTACAGCGTGGCACTCCAGGGGAGCAAAGAGGCAAAAATAATTGATTGTCTGTATTATATTTACCACGTGTTGGTCTCCCGTTCACTGGCTTGGCCATGGAGGATGCCCCTTCTTGGTTTTGCGTAGCTGATTGCCCGAACTTTGTCCAGTTCAACAAAAGGGAGCAAAGAGGCAAAAATAATTGATTGTCTCTCCAGTCTTGGTCACTGCTTAGGCATCTAGGCTGTTTTCATTGATGTGAAATGTTGTCATGTACATTCTAAACAATAGCATTAAAGTAGCATTGTTATGGTTGCCAAAAACACAAACATTATTTGAAAGAACATATTTCCTTGATTTCCCATTTTTGAAAGTGGTTTAATAAATTACCTTTAAATATAACTAGCTGCCATGATGTTTATACAAGGGGTTCATAAATACCTCAGTTATATGCCAGTGTTGAGCATTCATTTTCATTTTTTTTATTGTACATTGCTTTTAAGAGAGAAAGAGACAGAGGGAGAGTCAACATTTTAATCATGCCCTAAACGACATACCCCTCCAAACCGACCAGTTTGTTTTGCACCCATCCAAAGGTCGGACTTCGGGACCTAACCCCCCATCCCACAGACCATTTTAACATGGTAGGGGACCAGTCCCTGGATAATTATCTGTTATGACTCATTTTAATTGTTTTTAATAATTATGTGCTCTCTCTCACCACCTCACCCATATGTTGCAAGTTCACACTTGTCCATGTCCACCCCTCGCAATCCTTCCACACACACCCGTCTAGGGAAATAAATGACTTGGCCCTTACAGTAACAGTGGCTGTGGAAATATCTCTAATCGAAAATAGAACATGAGCGCAAATTATGACATCAACTATTGCTTTATATAGATAGCTACTGGAGTGTTATGTTGCTCCAAAACAACTACGTCATAAAACTCACCTGCAACCAACGTCGCGTCCAGAATGCAACTCTCTCTGTCTCAGTCCCAAGTTGACATTTTGGCCTCTGTGTTTGTTTGGAATGTCAAAAGGAATGCCCGATAAATAGCATCCTCATAAAGTTTAAGTTTTGCCTATTCGTATCTATATTTCGCCTGAGGTTCCAGATCTCTTTCATAGCACTTCTTTGAAAAGTATGTTTTATGTCCGCCATGATACGAGTCACCAGATTACCCGGGTCAGCATGTGCCTGTCAAAATGAACTATGAAGATTAAACCTTATGAATTGGAAGCCTCTCATGTAATAACAGTCTCCACGGCAACAGTAAACAATCCATGCCCTTCTTCTTGTCAAATAGAATTTCTCAGGAAATGTACATCGGTGTTGTTTCCACAATTGGATAATCATCAAAACTCGGAAGTGCAGTTGTCAGTTTCCAATACGTAATCACAACAAAAGCTTCATCCAAAATATTGAGGGGTGTTGATGTATCACCTACGTAGGTCTGTCCACAATCGCAAGGACGTGGTAAACTGCTCCCTGTGGTTGTTGTATCTGGGTGGTAGGTGGCTTGCCAGTCGCTTTGATGGTGTTGAGGATACTGTTGCTTCTTTTGAAAACCACATCTATAGTGGCCTGTTTTTTACGAAGACCTTTCTGGACTTTGTGGCTGACAATTCCGTAGTAGGGAAGGCCGAAGACAAGGGGTGTCAGAGAAGGTATCAGAAATAGACTACATGTGGAGCGACTAAGGAAATCAACGATTCGTCACGATGAACCAGATGACCATGAACCTCCTGGTAACTCAGATCAGTTACCACCTGCTATCTTGTCTGGTGACGAGATTCCGCCCCATGATCTCCAACCTGACGAGGATAGACAAACTGTGTGTGACACTCCACAAACAACCAAGAGTGCCCAGGACACTTCGGACAATCGTAAGTACTATGAGATAGAAAAAATCATCTCCAAGGAATATCAAGATGGACAATGGTATCATCGCTTCAGATGGTTATTATTTGACCAATCCTACAACTCTTGGATTTCATACAGTGGTCTTTTTCCTGGTGGATTCCATACATTCTCAATTGAGAACAGATAAAAGAAGCCCGCGTAAACAGTTATGCTGAACTAAGTAATCATTTGTGAAATTATTTCAGTAATGTGAACATACATGTGTATGAAGTAGCGAATTCATCATTAACTGTTAACCCGAAAGGTCATTTGTAGTGTTACTTTAATAGTTCATTCAAACTAGTAACTAGTGTTAGTTCAATTATTGTGCTTTGTTATTCAATTGTTGTTGTTTTTCATGGTAGTTCCAATGTTGTCATTGTGACATTAGGTTGTTGTTTATTGTGACACTCACTCAGATTAAACAAGAATGTAATTAACTCCCCAAGACAGGTTGAGGTTTATTTGTTCACAACTGATACAGCAACACAGCTGTCACAGATGTTAGGAAAATCCGAGCACAGGAATTAAGGATACGTGTTAAATGTGTAACGACATTTGTAGTGATCGAGGCCATCATGTGACATCCAAGTACACCAGTCTGGAGCGCCCATATCCCACTTTGCTTATTCAAAATATCATTTTTCTCAAATTTATTCTGAGAAGTAATAAAACTCTGTGTGATATATCGCCATGATCCAGTATTCCAGGAACATATTAGATACCAGGAGTATTCCGATCTGAAAATTCGCACTATACTCTGTGGAACGTGATTACAAACCCGCTTCGGTGATGGTAATTCAGCCACTTCACACAAGGGGTTGATTATATGATTATATATGCTGCAACAGGAAGATACAACAATCAGTTTCCTCGGGAGACCTTGGTTTTACACCGGTATTTTTGCAATATTCCAGTGGACACAAGAAATGGGCTCCACCCATAGTACCTTTGTTGAGCGTCGAATACGGACGTTTAGTGAAACGAGCAAACACTTTAACCACAGTGCTCCCCTATCACTCCTATGAGCATATGAGAGTCGTGGGTACCACCTGATGACAACCAACGCTGAATCCCAGGCGCCCTTATCACTTACAATAGTATAATGTGCATATCATTATTGACGGGGTCTCGGCACTATATAAATAGATTTGTTTAATGTAGTGCTAAGACCCGATCGACAAAATATACATTGATACGTTTTCCTTGCGTTGTATAAAAACCCGTGCGCGCTTACAAGACTATAAACTTCGTTTATCTCAGCCAAAGTCAATGAGGTCTTGCTTCTTATGTGTATCTGGGGCGTGTAATATGTTTCACTGTCAGTTTTATTTTACTGCACAGTTTTAACTTCTTTCTGTTAGGTGTTCGTTGTCATTTCCGTTCACAGAAATACCTGAGGGCTGCAGACCCTACCATGGTTCGTAACATCATGTGTTGACACAGTTGCTAATGTGCAACTCAGTGTTGTACTGAGTACAGCGACCATTTAGGCCTCCTCAGAAATGAAAGTTCTTTCTCTTTGTAGACCTTGATGCCTGCTTTGTTGGCATTCCCCTTGATTCCGGTGCCTCCAACAGGTCTGGTACACGGTTTGGGCCAAGACAGATACGTGTTGAATCTGCACTAATCCGCAAGACGAGTATGGGGACAGGTGAGTCATTCTCCGTAAGGCTTCTTGTCCTTCGTGTTGACACTTCATCAAGCTTACACCGACAACGCTGACATCTTAGCCTACGCAGGGGAAATGTGTAATAAATTAATCATGATATTCGTCAATATGTACCGTGAATTGTCCAGTCCTAGAAATGCTATATGCACTGACAACTATTATATAGATACACCCGTAGAGTGAGACTTGGCCTGTAGCAACGCATGCTTGTCGTACCAGGCTCGCTACTTGGTTGATGGATGTCATCGTATCCCAACTGCGTAGATCGATGCTCATGCTGTTGATCACTGGGTTGTCGTGACTCAATTATTTACAGTCCACCGTCATGTACCTGGAATATTGCCCAGTGCGGCAATAAACAAAATACAAAAAAAGCTGTATGAAGAAATTGACGTGACATTTTCGCAATCGTGATAGTATAGTGTAATTAAATACGAAGTACATATTCGCCATCATTATAATAGATTCTGAGTAAGAGAATGTTCTGTTGAGGTTGGAGGAGTGGGTAGGGATATTGCCACTATAATTCATGTTTGTATGTTTCAGATGTGGAAATGAGGAACCAATCCTCCTGTTTTTTTCAGATTGTTTATGATCTGAGGTGCCACCAAATCATCTTATTCTGATTTAAGATTTGGGATTGATTTTTTTAGATGTGGTTTTCGTCATATCAGCAGTTACACCCTCTTCAGAAGTATGATTTGATGTCCATATTTTCTTATATCTTTGGGACTACATTTTATTAACTATTAATGACAAGTGGGATAAACTGCTAAACCCACATAACTTAGAACAAGGAGTTGAAAACTATGTTTGAAAAAAGGGTTGTTTTACGAACCGCACAGGTACATTTTCTGACTTCGTTTCTATGGTATATGGTCTACGATACCATTGAAATATCAGCTGACATATCAAGGATGTCAACTTTTCAAAATAGTTAGTGAACTAGGCTATTCAGTCTGCACTGACAACCAATTGGTGAACTAGGCTATTCAGTTTGCACTGACAACCAATTGGGTGAACTAGGCCATACAATTAGTACTGACAACCATTTGGGTGAACCAGACCATTCACTTTGCACTGACTACCAGTTGGGTGAACTAGGCCATACAATTAGTACTGACAACCATTTGGGTGAACCAAGTCATTCAGTCTGCACTGACAACCAATTGGGTGAACTAGGCCATTCAGTCAGTACTGACAACCAATTGGGTGAACTAGGTCATTCAGTCTGCACTGACAACCATTTGTGTGAAATAGGTCATTCAGTCTGCACTGACAACCATTTGGGTGAACTAGGCCATACAATTAGTACTGACAACCATTTGTGTGAACTAGGCCATTCAGTCTGCACTGACAACCAATTGGGTGAACTAGGCCATTCAGTTTGCACTGACAACCAATTGGGTGAACTAGGCCATTCAGTCAGTACTGATAACAATTTGGGTGAACTAGGCCGTTCAGTCTGCACTGACAACCAATTGGGTGAACTAGGCCATTCAGTCAGTACTGATAACCATTTGGGTGAACTAGTCCACTCAGTCTGCACTGACAACCAATTGGGTGAACTAGGCCATTCAGTCAGTACTGATAACCATTTGGGTGAACTAGTCCATTCAGTCTTCACTGACAACCAATTGGGTGAACTAGTCCATTCAGTCTGCACTGACAACCAATTTGGTGAACTAGGCCGTTCAGTCTGCACTGACAACCAATTGGGTGAACTAGGCCATTCAGTCAGTACTGATAACCATTTGGGTGAACTAGGCCATTCAGTCTGCACTGACAACCAATTGGGTGAACTAGGCCATTCAGTCAGTACTGACGACCAGTTTTGTGAACTTGTACTGACAACCAGTTGAGAGAATTAGTCCATTCATTCTGCACTGACAACCCGTTAGGTGAGCTAGACCATATAACCTGTATTGACAGCAAGTTGTGTTAACTGGACCATTGTCTTTAATACAGTCTTGAAATGGGACAAACTAAGACAAGACAAAACATCGCGTTGAGCCTTAATTGTTATTACGTTTTGAATTGTAGGTGTGGATCCTTATAGCTATCTCAGGGTGGCGGATGTTGGAGACATAAGCTTAAACATGTTCAACCTGAAGAAGGCCTGTGACAATATCAGGGACGGCATTAGCTCCATCATAGCGTCTGGCTGCCGACCTCTTACTATGGGAGGAGATCACACACTGACATATCCTGTACTCCAGGCGATGAAGGTAACATGTCGTCAGTGATATATCTTGTATTCCAGGTATTAAGGTAACATGTCGTCAGTGATATATCTTGTATTCCAGGTATTAAGGTAACATGTCGTCAGTGATATATCTTCTATTCCAAGTATTAAGGTAACATGTCGTGAGCGATATATCTTGTATTCCGGGCATTAAGGTAACATGTCGTCAGTGATATATCTTGTATTCCAGGTATCAAAGGGAGCATGTCGTCAGTGACATATCTTGTCTTCCAGGTATTAAGGTAACATGTCGTCAGTGATATAACTTGTATTCCAGGTAGTAAAGGTAACATGTCGTCAGTGATATATTTGTATTCCAGGTATTAATGTAACATGTCGTCAGTGACATATCTTGTATTCCAGGTAGTAAAGGGAGCATGTCGTCAGTGATATATCTTGTATTCCAGGTATTAATGTAACATGTCGTCAGTGATATATCTTGTATTCCAGGTATTAAAGATAACATGTCGTCAGTGATATAACTTGTATTCCGGGTATTAAGGTAACATGTCGTCAGTGACATATCTTGTATTCCAGGTATTAATGTAACATGTCGTCAGTGACATATCTTCTATTCCAGGTATTAAAGGTAGCATGTCGTCAGTGATATATCTTGTATTTCAGGTATTAAAGGTAGCATGTCGTCAGTGATATATCTTGTATTTCAGGTATTAAAGGTAGCATGTCGTCAGTGATATATCTTGTATTTCAGGTATTAAAGGTAGCATGTCGTCAGTGATATAACTTGTATTCCAGGTATTAAGGTAACATGTCGTCAGTGATATATCTTGTATTCCAGGTATTAAGGTAACATGTCGTCAGTGATATATCTTCTATTCCAAGTATTAAGGTAACATGTCGTGAGCGATATATCTTGTATTCCGGGCATTAAGGTAACATGTCGTCAGTGATATATCTTGTATTCCAGGTATCAAAGGTAGCATGTCGTCAGTGATATATCTTGTATTTCAGGTATTAAAGGTAGCATGTCGTCAGTGATATATCTTGTATTTCAGGTATTAAAGGTAGCATGTCGTCAGTGATATATCTTGTATTTCAGGTATTAAAGGTAGCATGTCGTCAGTGATATATCTTGTATTTCAGGTATTAAAGGTAGCATGTCGTCAGTGATATAACTTGTATTCCAGGTATTAAGGTAACATGTCGTCAGTGATATATCTTGTATTCCAGGTATTAAGGTAACATGTCGTCAGTGATATATCTTCTATTCCAGGTATTAAGGTAACATGTCGTGAGCGATATATCTTGTATTCCGGGCATTAAGGTAACATGTCGTCAGTGATATATCTTGTATTCCAGGTATCAAAGGGAGCATGTCGTCAGTGATATAACTTGTATTCCAGGTAGTAAAGGTAACATGTCGTCAGTGATATATTTGTATTCCAGGTATTAATGTAACATGTCGTCAGTGACATATCTTGTATTCCAGGTATTAAGGTAACATGTCGTCAGTGACATATCTTGTATTCCAGGTAGTAAAGGGAGCATGTCGTCAGTGACATATCTTGTATTCCAGGTATTAAGGTAACATGTCGTCAGTGATATATCTTGTATTCCAGGTATTAAAGATAACATGTCGTCAGTGATATAACTTGTATTCCAGGTATTAAGGTAACATGTCGTCAGTGACATATCTTGTATTCCAGGTATTAAGGTAACATGTCGTCAGTGACATATCTTCTATTCCAGGTATTAAAGGTAGCATGTCGTCAGTGATATATCTTGTATTTCAGGTATTAAAGGTAGCATGTCGTCAGTGATATATCTTGTATTTCAGGTATTAAAGGTAGCATGTCGTCAGTGATATATCTTGTATTTCAGGTATTAAAGGTAGCATGTCGTCAGTGATATATCTTGTATTTCAGGTATTAAAGGTAGCATGTCGTCAGTGATATAACTTGTATTCCAGGTATTAAGGTAACATGTCGTCAGTGATATATCTTGTATTCCAGGTATTAAAGGTAACATGTCGTCAGTGATATAACTTCTATTCCAGTATTATTAAGGTAACATGTCGTCAGTGATATATCTTCTATTCCAGGTATTAAGGTAACATGTCGTCAGTGACATATCTTCTATTCCAGGTATTAAGGTAACATGTCGTCAGTGACATATCTTCTATTCCAGGTATTAAAGGGAGCATGTCGTCAGTGACATATCTTGTATTCCAGGTATTAAGGTAACATGTCGTCAGTGATATATCTTGTATTCCAGGTATTAAAGGTAGCATGTCGTCAGTGATATATCTTCTATTCCAGGTATTAAAGGTAGCATGTCGTCAGTGATATATCTTCTATTATTTCAGGTATTAAAGTAGCATGTCGTCAGTGATATATCTTGTATTTCAGGTATTAAAGGTAGCATGTCGTCAGTGATATAACTTGTATTCCAGGTATTAAGGTAACATGTCGTCAGTGACATATCTTGTATTCCAGGTATTAAGGTATCATGTCGTCAGTGACATATCTTCTATTCCAGGTATTAAGGTATCATGTCGTCAGTGACATATCTTCTATTCCAGGTATTAAGGTATCATGTCGTCAGTGACATATCTTCTATTCCAGGTATTAAGGTATCATGTCGTCAGTGACATATCTTCTATTCCAGGTATTAAAGGTAACTATTAAAGGTAGCATGTGTTAAGTGCCTAATGCTGTACACAAGGCGTCGAAGGTATCACGTGTTAACTGATATATCCTGTTATTCTGGCGATGAAGGTAACACGTCGTCAGTGGCATACCCTGCTCCCCAAGTATAAACATACCTTGCTCCCCAAGTATAGACATATCCTGCTCCCCAAGTATAGACATACCCTGCTCCCCAAGTATAGACATACCCTGCTCCCCAAGTATAGACATACCCTGCTCTGTAATACACTTTATATAACTGTATACTTGAACTCAAGACATGGCAAGGAAATGCGAAAAAAAACCCTCCCCAAAATACCCTATCCAGTACATCACGTCAACAGTATTCCACATGAGAATTGTGAAAAGACAAACAGTGTCCCTTTGGCCTGCAAGGATCCTATGATCGTGGGTACAAATGCAAGATTGGCCAAAGGTAAGTTCCTTGGTTTGACAGCACCAAGATAATGCTTGTGGACAACTACCCAGATTTAAGCAATGCTGTTTATACTTGCAGGCTAAATATGGCGCTGTTGGTCTGATCCACGTGGATGCTCACTCGGACACCAGCGACAGTATGTACGGCGAGAAGATCACGCACGCTACACCGTTCAGGAGAGCAGTCGAGGAAGGTTGTCTGGACTGCAGCCGAGTGATTCAGATCGGGCTGCGGGGATCTGGCTACAGTGTCAGTGACTACGACTGGGCCAGGAATCAGGTGTGCAGTAGGAATATAGTAGGAACATATGTACGTCCTTTCCCTCTTGAAACTTGGGTCCACCATAGCGTCTGGCTGCCGGCCTCCTGTAACTACTGTCACACGCACGCACTCGCAAACGCACATAATAATTAATTGAACTACAAATAGTTTTCAGTCATTGATGTCAGGAGCCATTGAATTTGCTCATCTTGTAGCCATGATATAGTTTTATTGTTTATTGTTGCGTAAATTAGATAATGTTGATGTAAATGGAAGTCCGATTATAGCGCTTCATTCACTGTACATCATGGTTTGCGGTTAACCGAGGCTCAACGCAAGGTTGTTTACTGTACTGCCATTTACTCACATCACTGCTGGTACTCCGCTCAAGGTGATAATAACACACGACTACTCGGAACGCTTGACTGTGTGTGCTGGCCATTAGGTGTCTTACTACTTTTGTATTGACATTTTCCAGGTTGTATAATACACCTGCCTCGAGGAATAGCTCTTGCAATAAGATTTTACGTTTTAAAAATATGACGGATGACTTATAACACCAAATTGCCTGAGTCAGGGATTCCGTATTGTGACTGGTGAAGAGTGCTGGAGCAAGTCGATGGTGGAGCTGATGGGTGAAGTTCGTGGGATGATGGGAGATGCCCCGGTGTACCTTTCGTTCGACATCGATGCTTTAGATCCCGCCTATGCCCCCGGGACAGGTAATTGAAGTATACACATACTGGGTTATGACATTCTCACGCACTTCTACTCTGATACACGGGTCGTATTAAGTATCAAAATTAATATATATATGAATATACACCGCTAGAGTTAGAGAGGAACATCAATATCTGGTGTAAACTCCATTAGCTGCAGCAACCCGTCTTTTCTCTGACTGAATAAGGCTCTGGATTTGCCTTTGACGCAATTGTTTCTTTTCCTAATGAACAGCAACGCCAAGCTGACCTAGGTTTTGAACATGAGGTTGTCTCTGTCGAATAGAATGTGAAAAAATGTCCGGACCATGTTTAACTGGGTTCATGCCGGCTATCTCAATGTTGTAGTGACTTCCTGGCGAACATAACCACGAACCACGCGAGCTCTGTCGGGTCTGGCATTCTCATCAATAAAAAATGGGCCTTATGTGGATGGGATGCCTTGACGCACTATGGGTCGCTTGACTGACAGACAGGCAATCTGATAGTTCACATACAGGTTTTATTTCCAGGTTATGTATATATAAAAGATGATTCCAAAACTCCTTTATCTACACACGATCTTTCGCAGTTCAACGGTTCTTCAGGCGTACAATGAAATCTAAGAGCAGTCATCTTTTAGACATTTATATAAGGTTGATACCTGTGTGATAGGCACATCAACAACAAATGAAGTTCAGACTACATTTCAGTATTTATTGTCGTTTTATACTATTGTCGGGTTTCGATAGGAAATTTATGGATTGTTGTTTTTTCAAGCCAAGTACGAAATACACAGCCATTGAGCAACAAGGAAATCTTCAAACAAAGCAGCTGCAAACCATAAGTTTGGGATTGTATGTCAAGTGGAGCCAAACATTGTTGTCGGAGACGGAGACACTATGAAGGCAACAGTTGAACATTGCTTTCAACAACCTTCTGAAGCTGGTTTAGGAGGTGACTTTTGAAATGACACAAGCTGCTAGAAAAGCAGGACTTTCGTGTCAGTTTGTTGTTAAGTCAAATCTTTCCCATTACTTGTTACATCGGTGATTATCGTGCAGGTACACCAGAGATAGCTGGCCTCACCCCATCTCAAGCCCTGCAGATCATCAGAGGAAGTCAGGGCCTCCAGATAGTAGGGGCTGATCTTGTTGAGGTATGAACAACACGCAATTATACAGGCAAACAAAAACACAGTCCTTTGCTCTTCTCATCTTTAGACCCGTGAAGGTCCGAGTTAGAATTGGCCTTCAGTAACCCATGCTTGTCGTACGAGGCGACTAATTGCGCAGATCGATGCTCATGTTGTTGATCACTGGATACTCTGGCTCGATTAATTACAGACCGCCGCCATATAGCTGGAATATTGCTGGGAGCGGCGTAAAACTAAACTCACTCACTCTCTCTCATCTGTAGTGTTTTCCTAACAATATATCTGGTCCATCCTCATTACAAACTGATACTGTGCGGGCTGTGAGAGTACGTGGATCAGGACACCAATCCAGTTAACATATGATCAGCGTAGTTAGGACGTGCTGTGAGTGTACGTGGATCAGGACACCAATCTAGTTAACATATGATCTGCGTAGTTAGGACGTGCTGTGAGTGTACGTGGATCAGGACACCAATCTAGTTAACATATGATCAGCGTAGTTTGGACATGCTGTGAGTGTACGTGGATCAGGACACTAATCTAGTTAACATATGATCAGCGTAGTTAGGACGTGCTGTGATTGTACATGTATCAGGACACCAATCTAGTTAACATATGATCAGCGTAGTTAGGACGTGCTGTGAGTGTACGTGGATCAGGACACCAATCCAGTTAACATATGATCAGCGTAGTTAGGACGTGCTGTGAGTGTACGTGGATCAGGACACCAATCTAGTTAAAGTAAGGTCAGCATAGTTAGGACGTGCTGTGAGTGTACGTGGATCAGGACACCAATCTAGTTAACATATGATCAGCGTAGTGAGAACGTGCTGTGAGTGTACGTGGATCAGGACACCAATCTAGTTAACATATGATCAGCGTAGTTAGGACGTGCTGTGAGTGTACGTGGATCAGGACACCAATCTAGTTAACATATGATCTGCGTAGTTAGGACGTGCTGTGAGTGTACGTGGATCAGGACACCAATCTAATTAACTATGATCTGCGTAGTTAGGACGTGCTGTGAGTGTACGTGGATCAGGACACCAATCTAGTTAACATTTGATCAGCGTAGTTAGGACGGGCTGTGAGTGTACGTGGATCAGGACACCAATCTAGTTAACATATGATCAACGTAGTTAGGACGTGCTGTGAGTGTACGTGGATCAGGACACCAATCTAATTAACTATGATCTGCGTAGTTAGGACGTGCTGTGAGTGTACGTGGATCAGGACACCAATCTAGTTAACATATGATCTGCGTAGTTAGGACATGCTGTGAGTGTACGTGGATCAGGACACCAATCTAGTTAACATATGATCAGCGTAGTTAGGACGTGCTGTGAGTGTACGTGGATCAGGACACCAATCTAGTTAACTATGATCATCGTAGTTAGGACGTGATATCAGGGTTTACTATTGCAGGTATCTCCTCCATATGATATGGCTGGGACAACAGCGCTAACAGCAGCAAACCTTCTCTTTGAGATGTTGTGCATCTTGCCTAGGCCTAAACGCAGTTGATCCCATCGGATCAAAATACAAATGCATAATGCTGTCGGATCAAAATCAAAGTGTACAGCGTTTCCGGACGCCAATAAAAGAGTGTAAGGTTTTTGAACCATGTATTCTATGACAGAAAAATAAAGTTTTGCAAAATGAACGCGTGTATGATGTCAGTATTCCATATTATGGTTCCGGTTTCTGAGCAAATACTCCACCTAGGCGCATTTATGGTCCTGAAAATCGAGTGAGTAAGGTTATGTCTTGAAAGAAACTCGCCGACAGATGTTTTTGTGTCGGAAAGATTAATGAAAAAAGTGGCCACGGTAGAACAGATAGTTAACCAATGAAACACGAATAATTGTAACTGGACATTACTGAAGCACATCCTTTGAAGAGAAATACAGCCCTGAGAAGACTGGCATGTAAGTCAATGACAAATAGGAATATTGGGTTCGAGGCAAGATGTGAGGCTGATCAGTGCATTGGTATCGTGACAAGTTAAAAGAAACGTTGTCATAACGTTGTGAGGATCCAAGAGCATAATGTTTCCTCAACGTAAATTTGCAACGTTGTTATTACGTTGGGACATAACGTTATAGAATGACGTAATACTAACGTTGCGTCATGACGTTACCAATCTAGAACCTTCCCACAACGTTGGAAAACGTTGTGTGTTAGCTGTTTAGTTGCACATGCCAGTATCATTTTCCATAGGCTATTCCGCCTGTGGGCATATAGAATCGAACAATTCCAAACCTTATTCCAAACATAGAGAACATATCTCACACTTTCAAGCAGTGACTATTTGCGTCGTCGTGGATCTTACCAAGTAATTACACTCTACATTTTAACAATATGCACTTATGAAATATCAACACAAATATTTCAGGCTTTTAAAAACGATTTTGTTGTCAGTTTAAACACACATCCATATTTCAGTGAACGAATCTGTGGTTTTCAATCAACTAATTGACCGAAAAGCGCTGGCCAAACCCGGTGATATTACATCTAGCGGTACTCGTGAGTTTCAACAAAGTGATACAATGAAGGTGTGACTGAACGTTATTGGAAAAACAGTTTCAACAAAGTGATACAATGTAGGTGTGACTGAACGTTATTGGAAAAACAGTTTCAACAAAGTGATACAATGTAGGTGTGACTGAACGTTATTGGAAAAACAGTTTCAACAAAGCGATACAATGTAGGTGTGAGTGAACGTTATTGGAAAAACAGTTTTAACAAAGTGATACAATGAAGGTGTGAGTGAACGTTATTGGAAAAACAGTTTCAACAAAGTGATACAATGTAGGTGTGAGTGAACGTTATTGGAAAAACAGTTTCAACAAAGTGATACAATGTAGGTGTGAGTGAACGTTATTGGAAAAACAGTTTCAACAAAGCGATACAATGTAGGTGTGAGTGAACGTTATTGGAAAACAGTTTCAACAAAACGTGATACAATGTAGGTGTGAGTGAACGTTATTGGAAAAACAGTTTCAACAAAGTGATACAATGTAGGTGTGAGTGAACGTTATTGGAAAAACAGTTTCAACAAAGTGATACAATGTAGGTGTGATTGAACGTTATTGGAAAAACAGTTTCAACAAAAGTGATACAATGTAGGTGTGAGTGAACGTTATTGGAAAAACAGTTTCAACAAAGTGATACAATGTAGGTGTGAGTGAACGTTATTGGAAAAACAGTTTCAACAAAGTGATACAATGTAGGTGTGAGTGAACGTTATTGGGAAAACAGTTTCAACAAAGTGATACAATGTAGGTGTGACTGAACGTTATTGGGACAACAGTTTCAACAAAGTGATACAATGTAGGTGTGAGTGAACGTTATTGGAAAAACAGTTTCAACAAAGTGATACAATGTAGGTGTGAGTGAACGTTATTGGAAAAACAGTTTCAACAAAGCGATACAATGTAGGTGTGAGTGAACGTTATTGGAAAAACAGTTTCAACAAAGTGATACAATGTAGGTGTGAGTGAACGTTATTGGAAAAACAGTTTCAACAAAGTGATACAATGTAGGTGTGAGTGAACGTTATTGGAAAAACAGTTTCAACAAAGCGATACAATGTAGGTGTGAGTGAACGTTATTGGAAAAACAGTTTCAACAAAGTGATACAATGTAGGTGTGACTGAACGTTATTGGGACAACAGTTTCAACAAAGTGATACAATCCAGGTGTGACTGAACGTTGTTGACCCCAGTGAAACAAACAGGAACTTGTTTCATATGTACGTCTTTCGTTATGCAGTGTCAGCATTTGTCCTCCACGATAGAATCCTATCGAGGGGTTAGTAGGGGTTCTAGTTTGTCGCTATATTCATCTTTATCGCCCTCGCTAGATACAGGCTTCACTTTCATCTCAATGTCCTTCTTCGTCTGGTGCTTCATTTGAGTGGTCTTCTTGAATGCAGTAATTGGAACAGACAACAGACTAGCCACAACAAAGGTAGCACCTACAACAGAAGAACACAGGTCGATACATTTTATAGATATTTTAAAAAGGCGGCAATGCTCAACGAAGTCGGAACAAGCTTCATAGCTCACCGAGACTGCCAAGCATACAGATAGCCAGCATCATAGCTGTTTGAGACTCACCTGTACACAAGTAGCCAACAACATAGCTATTTGAGACTCGCCTGTACACAAGTAGCCAACAACATAGCTATTTGAAACTCACCGGTACACAAGTAGCCAACAACATAGCTATTTGAGATTCACCTGTACACAAGTACCCAACAACATAGCTATTTGAGACTCACCTGTACACAAGTAGCCAACAACATAGCTATTTGAGACTCACCTGTACACAAGTAGCCAACAACATAGCTATTTGAGACTCACCTGTACACAAGTAGCCAACAACATAGCTATTTGAGACTCACCTGTACACAAGTAGCCAACAACATAGCTATTTGAGACTCACCTGTACACAAGTAGCCAACAACATAGCTATTTGACACTCGCCTAACACAAGTAGCCAGCAACATAGCTATTTGAGACTCACCTGTACACAAGTACCCAACAACATAGCTATTGAGACTCGCCTGTACACAAGTAGCCAACAACATAGCTATTTGAGACTCACCTGTACACAAGTAGCCAACAACATAGCTATTTGAGACTCACCTGTACACAAGTAGCCAACAACATAGCTATTTGGGACTCACCTGTACACAAGTAGCCAACAACATAGCTATTTGAGACTCACCTGTACACAAGTAGCCAACAACATAGCTATTTGAGACTCACCTGTACACAAGTAGCCAACAACATAGCTATTTGAGACTCGCCTTACACAAGTAGCCAACAACATAGCTATTTGAGACTCACCTGTACACAAGTACCCAACAACATAGCTATTGAGACTCGCCTGTACACAAGTAGCCAACAACATAGCTATTTGAGACTCACCTGTACACAAGTAGCCAACAACATAGCTATTTGAGATTCACCTGTACACAAGTAGCCAACAACATAGCTATTGAGACTCACCTGTACACAAGTAGCCAACAACATAGCTATTTGAGACTCACCTGTACACAAGTAGCCAACAACATAGCTATTTGAGACTCTCCTGTACACAAGTAGCCAACAACATAGCTATTTGAGACTCGCCTTACACAAGTAGCCAACAACATAGCTATTTGAGACTCACCTGTACACAAGTAGCCAACAACATAGCTATTTGAGACTCGCCTTACACAAGTAGCCAACAACATAGCTATTTGAGACTCACCTGTACACAAGTAGCCAACAACATAGCTATTGAGACTCGCCTGTACACAAGTAGCCAACAACATAGCTATTTGAGACTCGCCTTACACAAGTAGCCAACAACATAGCTATTTAAGACTCGCCTGTACACAAGTAGTAGTATATACAGTAGGGGTACGGGACCAGGTGCCCCCAAGAGCTCAAATTATAAATCTGAGCCCTTGAGATGGACCTAATCCGTACCGCTATTGCATAATGCCACTGTTTGATGTGCATGTGTCGTGAGGTACGATCATCAACTCCTCTCCCCTCTGACGAATGCGGCCGGTCTTTCAAGTAGTACAAGTTCGGTTCACCATCTTTGATGTCGACCAGGTCTACGTTGTACGCTTTCATGGACCATCTCGGATCGGTGGCGTTTTCTGCCATCTCCCTCGTATTCTCCCGGCTGTCGAAATGTCAAATTTTCTTCTCGGGATGTACCGAGGCGCCGGCAGGTAGACTTGCCAGATGGCTTGTTTTTTTAGCCAGGCTTTGGCTTTCTCTTCCGAGACTCGAGCGGCTTTGGGGAGTTTCGGGATGGCATCCACGCCTTTCAAGTACCCGAGCGGGCTGTAGTATATTTTCTCCATTGGGTATGTATTACCTGCGCGTTATTTATTCATTGCACGTGCGTGTGTCCGTGAGCGTAGGTGGTGATTCCGTCGTTGGCGATCCATCGTTTCGTGTCCATGGGAGACAGCAACGTCTTGTTGATCGTCAGGTGTTCACATGTTCATCTGGTGTTTGAACGTTTTGTTTTCGAACATGGCTTCCTTGAATCTGGCGTGCTTGAGTTGTTTTTTCACTACGTGTTTTTTCAGCTTTTAGCCTTCTTGATTTCACTGTCATCAGTATGTATTCTTGATGGAATACATCTTGGGTGTCAAGCCGACGTATTCGGTGATCGGCGTGCCCGCGCACTCATCCTTCATCTTGCCGAGCACTTTTTTGTTGACTTGGCTGTGCATGGGGTGATCTTTGGGGTAGTCGCTGGTGTCGTACAGGTGCATGTGTTTCTTCATGTCCTCGTACACATCCTCGGTGTGGATTTCCATGAGCAGGGAATCCGTGTCCGTGTACAGCACTTCGCACTTATCGTCGCCGTACTGTTTCTTCAGTTCGTTGTAGTAGAAATCGTACATCAGGTGTTTGGACAGGTCAAGGACACTCATCCCCACGTAAACGTGTCGGTTGAACATGATGTTGGTTTTGTTCATGTGCAGCGCAGCCAAGTCGTCGTCGAATATCTTGCTCCGGTTGAACGCCGGGCTGGCGATGAGCTTCCTGAGCTTTTCTTCTTCGCTGGATCTGACCGGCTTCACGTTGACTCGTTTTCTCAAGTTCTCCATCGTTTTGCCGAATACCGAGTTGTTCATGAGCT